GGATGCACAACTTTTTCGTTTTAGATTCTTTCAATTATTTTGAGGCGTTATGAAAATTATGATTCGACAAGTAAAAACATTATTACTATATTAAGCGTTGTGGGAAAAATTTATGTTAATCTAGAAATGATGATAACCTTTTGGGATTCTCCGATTGTCAAAAGCTATATAAAACTTCAACAATTAACTTTGAAAATTTATTCTTCTTTAGAAAGAACGTAAAATTTCTCAATTTCATCTGAAAAATCAGGAGTAGCACAAGGAAATGCGCCCACCTGAACGGAGCAGAGGGCGGTTGGGGGGTGGTGAGTGCGAGGCCCACTTTTCATTAAGGGTCGAGCCGTAATTTAAGCGATATTTGAGAGGCTTTAAATTTCAAGAGGCGATAAATAAATGGCTGAAGGCGGGCCACGTATAAGAAGGAAGACGCACCTGGCCCGTCTTGTATCCCCTCGGCTGGCATTACGAGAGGTCACCCACCCCTGCTTTTAGCACCCACGTTCGTCACACAACACTGCCATCGGTGCGCGGCGGCGCTTAAATACTCTCGCCGGCTAGAGTGGAACGCCAAGATATATTACTGCGCTCACCGAAGAGAGCGCATATGTGTAAGGCGAGAACTTTTTGTCGCGCGCCAAATTCATTACAGCACTTAGGGTTGCCGAGTTCCGGTGGGAACTGCACACCCAGAGAGAGAGAGCGAGAACCGCGGCGGGAACCCAATATGCTGATGGCTCGCGCAAATGGAATTGCTGCGAAGAATTGCCAAGGGAGAGAAAATGACGAGCGCGGGAGCTTTGCTTCCGTTCGCCGCGAAGCATAATTTGTCTTGTTTCTTGTTGGGCGACCAAGACCGATTTTAAATTTATTAAAAGTGATGCGGCCCAAAATAGAAAATTTTAGCAATAAATTTTTTTAATATAGCAAGTGAATGCAAAAGAAATTTAAGTTCATTTTAAAAGTTGATGTAGAATTACAGAAATTGAGTAAGTTCGTTCCATTTTTACAAGTTAATGATATTTTTTCAAATGCATTTTTTTTAGGTACAAATTATTTTCTGAAAATATCCTAAGAAAAAGAATCATAAAATAATTTTAGCGAGTGTTTTTGCCTCAACAAGAAATTAAAATAGTATATTTTTGCAACAACAATCACAAAAAATCTCAAAATAGTATAAAAATTAAAAAAGGTTGACATATTTAAAATAAATGTCAAATTCAGACATCAAATCCGAACGACCCAATCCATTTTCAGAATCATGAGAATGAATTTTTTGTTATAACAGAATTTTTTGTAAGTTTTCAAATTAATTCATAGATTGAAAAAAAAGGTTTATCAATTTAAATTTTATTTAATTTCGTGTGAATATAATAAAATTTTGATTTAAGGCATACAAATGTATTCTTTGCCATCTCTTGCTGGAGAAATTCTTGCTAAGTTTATCACTTCGGTAAAAATCATGTAAATTCTCTGTCAAGTTTGCAAATTTTCGAGACTGACTGCAAGAACAACCCTTTTCAGGATCATTAGAGTCAACAAAGTAAATTCATCAATATTTATGGTATTCATCAAGTTTATAAAATGAAATATGAATAAATTGACTTAAAATGTGTATAAATTTATTTTTTGTTCATGATTCAAACTTTGGTAATAAATTTGGTTTTGAATATGTAATAAACATCTGCGGTACAAAAACTTTTGCAAACTCAGGATTCCCAGCAGTCGGACAAATGAACAGCACAGCGCATCGATTTTTGCACATAATCCGCGCACTGAACTTCTTTGCGCGAGCAGTTTCAATTGCAAAGGAAACGCCGGCAAGATTTTCCATCCCCGGAGCAAACAAAAGAGTTCACCTTGGGGAATATTTTTTCCTCTCGGCAAACGTGTATACAAACAAAATCGATTGCATTTCAAAAGTGGTCCGAGATAAATATAAAAGAAGCGGAGCGAAAAAACTTGGAGCAATAAACAGCCGCAATCGGACGATAAGTGTAAACTGTTTTGACAGGACGGTCGTTTTTTGTCCGACGCCCGGCAAAAAGCGCGACGATTCGGATTAAGTTGGAAGGATTCGTCGTCGGCGGTGGAGTGACTTATGAGAGAGAAAAAGAGCCGCCAATGACCCAGACGAAACAAACAAAGCCCGTGCGAATAAATAGAGAGAGAAAGAGAAAGAACGAAAGCCTTTGTTGCGATTGGGTTTTAAAAAACCATTACAATGCAACACCGGCCCCTTTCTATCTTTCACTCGGTCGCGGCCTTCTCTCTTCTCGTGTCGGTTTATTTGGTCGAGAGGAAGATCGATCCGGGTCCGGCAGCCCTGGCCGGTGCTTGCGGCGAAAGAACTACGAGTGCACCCACCCGAGCCTGCTAATAATCGTAGTGTAAACATCAAAACATCCCAGCAATCATTTGTGTTTCACATCGTTGTCAAATGGGTGTCGGCAGTAAAAAGAGAGAAAGACCAGCACGGCGCGAAAAGCTTTTGTGGCTCCGAAATGTGTATCAGATGATACATAACCGTGTGCAGGAAAAAATAGCACTGCGCGGTGGGAAAAAAACAAGCGGGAAAATCGACCGCAGGGAAAATTCCAACGGAAAAAGTTCTTATAAAAATACGGAACCAAGAAAAGGCGGCTTCTATGTAATGTAATTTAAAGGAATGAAACCGGATGATAGCACGTTCTTTCAATCCCACAAAACACAAATTACTCTTTTTATGTTCTTTTCAGCATTTCTAAAAAAACAAGACAGACACAACAATTCTTAGATTTGCTAATTCTCTGTTTGCAGTTCCCAGATCGCGCTATTGATGCAAATATTTGTAAAGATAACAAATTAATTCGTTGAAATTTGTGTTGTTATTCAGGTAAATGTTCATATTAAATTTTTCCCGTAGCTGAGACACTAATTCGATTAACCATTATGTGGTTCAGTATTGTTATAAGCGTTTTAAGAATTTAAATTGTATTAATTACAGCAAAATATTATACGCCATTTTTTTTCATTAAATCAGGTCAATAAATGGCTCAAATTATACACTTCACATATTTGAGGAAAAAAACTGGAAAATAATAATATTGGGACATAAAAACGAACCGATGCTTACTAAAATTCTCAACTTTCACATTTTTTTTCCCGGTATTTGCTCACAAATAAATACTCAGATACATGAAAATTCAATATTAATTACCATTTCATCAGAAGTGCTTCATGGATTTCCGCAAATCAATTAGCAATTTAGATTTGATTGAATGTTTGCGATTGTTTCGCAGAAAAATAAAATACGTGGAACAATCTGCTTTGAATGCGAATCAATAACTTTCTATATATTTTTCATTTTCCACATGGTGCTTATTTCACAGTAAAATAACAAAGTTAATTTTCCTTTCCACTTTGCAAACTACATACGCAACCTCTCGTTTTTGAAATGAATTCCCTGTAAAGATAAAATCAACAGGCTTCAATTGAAAAGTAAGCAAACGGAATAAATTTCTCTCTGCCTCTGCAAAAAATTTCAGAAAATTGGGAAGCGAAAAAACAGACGCGGGAGCAAATGCGAAATTTGATCATCGTTATGCAAATGCGTGCGGCCCCATTATAACGTTTTTAACGGTCTTGCGCGAGCAAAAGTGAAATTAATGAAGACTTCTCTGTCGAAATTTCATCTCTCGCTTTTTCCGCGCGGCACTTTGCGCTCACACATGCGTCATTCTTCCAGCAAGCTGGTCAATTTTAATTTGCAGCGAGCACGTCAAAAACTCATTTTTCATCGTCAAAGACGCCTAAGCAAGCCCCATTAAAATTAATTTCGACTGCAGTCACCCCCTATTGTCTCCGCCAGTAAATCTGTCTCTCGGCGGCAGCCATGCCAAGATCTTGTCTTGCGAGAGAAATTCGCGCTCGTCGAGCTTCACTCACTCAGTCTGGCCTGCGCCTTAATTAACCACCCGACGAGCAGCTCAGATATAATTTTCTGGAAACCTCTCCTCATTATTCGGGACCTCATTAATTCAGCAGAAGACTTTTTAGTCATCGAATTAAACAAAGTTACATTATTATCATTTTGTACTGGTAATTTTGCTAATTTATGTACTCAACACAATAATTTTTCTCCATTTTTGTGTTCAAGATTGATTTAATATCAAACGAACATGAATTCTAGATTGACAATGACTTCAAATCAATATTATTTAATTGAATTATTTCTAGTTTATTTTTAGAAAAATTATGACGATTGTTTTTTATGATTTATGAAAAAGTAATTATTTTATACTGAAGAGAGACAAAAGCAACAAAAATGTATTACAATTGATAAAATCAGCTGCTCAAGTTGTAAAAAAATCTGTTTTTGCCTGTGCCTATAGTAAACTATTATTTAATTTTTTAACTACAGAGCCTAAATTCATGATGATTGAGATATTTAGAATGTACGCAGTAGTTAAAATAAACAATATTCACTGCCCAATCAAACCTAAACTAACATTTAGATGCACAAACATTATTATAATAATATAATAATATTAATAATAATAGCAATAGAAAAGTTCTTGGCCTCAATTGGGAATGCAAAGGAAAATTCACTTATTATTATTTAGTCTATTTATGATAATTTATATATTTTGCTTATTCATAAAGTTGCATATATAAACAAATTTTTGTATGCATAATTTTCGTTTTATATTGACCTTGATGCAAAGAACCGCAGTGAATGGCATGTTTTTGTTCATGGAAGATTCAGCAAAATGTCTGCTTATGGTTATGTTTTTTGGACCAAAAATTCAAATTTTCCTTCTCAACAAGTGCCGTTCTTATCATTGCAAAACGTTTGCTAAATTTTTTTTATAAATATACAAAAACAATTTTGTAATTATCATTCCAGATTTTATGTATAATTGTAAATTGCTTTCTTGAAATTGTTTGGTGAAAATATTCACCCAAGTGACGTGATGCATAAAAAATAATAATAATAAATGCCAATCGGCAATCAAACTTACCTCGAGGATGTGCTCTGCCTGATTTTCGCGGTCCAGTTTTCGTCCCGTGGTGCGAATGGTGCCTGCAACAGAGAAAATGCCAACGTTAAAACCAATTTGTTGATACACGAAAAAAAAATTTCTCCCCGGAAGAAGAGCGTTCATTATTATTCGCACGTGCGGATCGATGATTGAATATTTAAAACGCACACCGGTTGGAATTTCCTGCAGCATCGGATGCCGCAGGGTGGAAAACGCATCGTTTGGAGGGGAAAGAAGAGAGAAAGAGGCCTGTTTACTCGGGGTGTGCACCACTGACGACAATCTATTATAACTCTCGGGTGGTGCTGCCAGAAGAAAAGAATACACAAAGTTTTTCATCCATACTCGTCGGACGGAGGAGGAGGAAAGTTTGCTTGCCACGGCAAGACTTTTTTAATTAAATACCGCCGCCGGTGAAAAAGAACATTCCGAATGTATAGCGAGGTGCACGTCACGAAATATGTACAAACACACACAGGTGGAAAATAATACACGCCGCGTGTTCCGGACAATGATGCTCGCGGTGCAAAAAGCAACGTACTGTCTGTGTACGCCGCTTTTTCGCAACAACTCCCGACCTCCGAAAATATATACGTATGTTTTCGCAGCGATGAAAAGAGGTCTATTTATAAAGCGAAACGTGCTCCGCATGCAGACTCACATTTTATATGTATCACATACACACACAAAAATGACGCAATCCCACTACAATTATGAGAGGACCGTGAGAAGAGCTCCTGCGAGATTAAATATTATATGAAGTGGGCTTAGAGAGAAGATGACAACAACAAGAACTTCTTACTTACTTTCTCGTCTCAAGCCTAAGTAATTAATTTATATTATTTCCGATGGAGCGGTCCAAGATTGCTTTGATAGATGATGGGGTCGAAAGTAAGTAACGTGTCAGAAGTGCGCGTTATGGTTTTGAACCATTTTCCCCTCTCGTGTATAATGGTGATGGAATGACTCTCACTTTCTATCTGAACTATTATTTGAGCGCATTAAATTTAATTATAGTTGGAGGAGTTGAATCTAATGGAGAAATGGAAGACAAGTATATTAAATGGCCTTATGGTGATGAATAGACCACCCAAAAGAACATTGGTCGATTTTAAAAGGCATGAAAGAGAGGGCAACGTTTTAGTCTCATTTTAGTGAAACATGGAAATTCTAAAAATGACATCAAATAAATTTAATAAAATATTCTTAAAGATCCTACTAGTTTATGTTTCTAAATAAATCGTATAATATTAAAATAAATTTAATTCTAAACCCCTTCAATGCTGCAGACCATTGGAATGATAACTCTGTCTACATTTGAATGAAACCCTCATTGATGTTATAATTCGCACGCAAATATAAATTAAGTTCAGATCAAACAATTGTGGAAAAAAAATTGTGATAAATGTATTTGTATGCTCAAAAATGACACATATATTTTTAAACAAGTGGATTACATGCCAAACATTTTTGTGTGGTTATTGGAAAAGGATCAATTTAGAGTTTGTGCCATGTCAATAAATAGTTTTCAATTATTGATCCAGTGCCTTTCTCAGCAATTATTCCTGAGATGATTTCTCACTACCATAACCAGCAATGCGTCTTTGGATTGTGACTATTTTCATCGTAAAGGTCCTTACCATAGCACCCTCCCTAAATTTTGAATCCTCAATTTCGAACACTTTGCTACGAACGAATGCTCACCATCCAGTTACCGTTTCTAAGTTCTCTAACTAAAGGAAAAACAATATCCTGTTATCATATTATGTTTCGGCTGCAGCCATTATTTATGATTTCTCTCCTGCACGAGTAAAAAAAGAATACTGTATTTTTTCTTTCTTTCAACGTGAGCAAAAGCACTATTAAGTCTCGAAGAATAATCCATCAAGGATTCAATTAACATGAATTATATTCCAACTGAAATATGAATTTATTTGACAAAATATAATTTGTATTGTTTATCCTAATGCATTTGATGAAAATTAACTTACAAACTCAATAAAATATGAATGCATTTTCACGATATTTGCTAACAATTAACCAAAATTTTTTATATTAATTTTAATTTAATATATTAAATTTTTCGATACTTCTTAAAAACGTCGCCTATTTGCGATTATTGTGTAATTATTTTTTCCTTCAAATCTATCTTAACATAGGCGATGAACTTATTTTATAATTTTATACCCATTAGGCCATTAGGAATGTCAACGGAGTGTAATTTCCACGTGACGGAAGAGAATTGCGTAAATTTACTCGCGTTAATTGAATTTGAATGTTTTGATCCACTCGCGAGGCGCAAATTTGCAAGGCAGAAAGCTGCGATCGATTCCCTCTCGCATCACGAAACACGCACCTGTAAATAACACAACCGCGCACGCCCCCATCCATCCATTATACGGGATTCGTCGCGAATGCACATTTCTGCGGCTTTGTAATTAAGCAAGTAATTACCGCAGTTGTCAAACTAATTAAAAGCAATCAAAACCGGCGGTCTCGCACTTGGCAGCCGGGATTTTATTCCATTGCACACACACTGCACGTAGGTGGGTGGGTGGGCGGGCGGGCGGGTTGAATGGAGAAGCGCTCGCTAACGAAGCAAGATAAACACAAGGAGCGCTTTGTGATGCGCCCGCCGCCGCCGCCGGAGCAAAGCAACGCTACCGACAAGGCAGCCCGCGGCCACACTTCCGCCGAGACGAATAGACGCACAGGAATTCCATTAGACTTCTCCATTATTCACCAATTTAGCCAATCTCGAAGGCAGGCGCCGCAGCCGGCGCTACTTTTTCGCCCAGGAGGAAATAAAGCGGTAATGTGCAGTTAAGACCCAAAAGCGGCATAGATTTAACAACATCCAATTAATATTCACAATTTTTTATCTTGTCACATAGAGAGAAAAATCGTCATAATTTTATTTATTTTGATCCAGAAAAATTGGCAATAATTAAAAAAAAAAGAGAAGAAACAAGAATTCATTGATAAATTGTCTGATATTTTTCGTTGGTTAAGCTACACTTTAATTAGATTAATTAAACCGAACCATGAATCTTATTAGTGGTGTGAAAATAAGGCAAAAGCTTCTACAAAAAGAGGAATGATTAATTTTCTTTACACTTGACTTTGTAAAATGTTAAAGTGACATCTTGTAACCTACAAATTGAAAACAAAAAATCCGAATACGTTTTTTGACAAGATGCCGATAAATCAAAACTCATAATAATTTAAGGCTCATTGCAGCGCATGGGGTCTTTTTGATCTCCAAAATTTTATCAAAGGCTTGCTACTGTTGACGCCTTTTTTGTCAAAAATTTTAATGTTTCCCTCCAAAAAATTAATTACATCTCAACAGGGTTAAATTTTGGACACCTAATGAACACTAGCACTAAAATTATCTAACTATAAGAAAAGTTTTGATCACTTTTTATAATGATTATAATTCAAAGTTGCAAGCAAGATTTTACTGCTTTACAAACATGTGATATTGCCGCAATTTTTAATTGGAATTCTATGTAATGAAAAATTTCCTTGCAAAAAAATTACTGTAAAAATCGACCAAAACCTAACTCTGCTAATGTCTATAGTACTTACTGTCCTAATTAGTTTAGAAATCTTCCAAAATAATGCAGAAGATAAAATAATGAATTTGAAAATAAAAAGATTTCATATTGAAGTATAGTATAGGCCATTCATAAAAAAATTAAGCCGGTGCTGAACGGATGGCTCAGAATGCGAATGTGTCAAATCCATTAGAAATATCATCATGTAGCATTAACGTGGCAGCCGTGTAAGAAAAATAAGAAAATTCAGTCTCGTCTCTCCTGGTAATTAGAGAAGCTGCGCTGGTCGACTTTTTATCTCGTGTCCCTTTTAATTACAAGCCGGCGTCTCGTCGTGTTCCGCGGCGGCCGCACCAGCATAAGGCGATAAGGAATTTACGATTCTCGCACTCGTCGTGGCACCCACACCAAAGCCGCCTCTCCACTCCGAATTAGAATATTCAAATTCTGGGCACGGTCGAGGCGGAGAAATAATGGCGCTTTAAATTAAGGCCCTAACGCGAGAGAGTGCTCACTTTTTCTGACTGATTTCTTAATTCCGCTCACCATTAGCGCCGCTCAGCCCCGAGGGTCTCGTTCCAGGGAGCGCGGCATTAATTTCAATTTAACTCTCGGCCGCTCTCTCATGGTGGAAGTCGATTGTTTTGACGAGATGATTACCGTGTGCGGCAGATTTATGGCCAGCAATGGATGGTATGAATGAATGTTTTAACTAAATATTTTTCAAATTATTGAATGAAATTTTCAATATTAGTTAATTGCATGATTATTGCAAAATGTATTTTTTATTTGGAAATCTGAAAGATGAGACGATCTTAAAAATTATTAAATTTTAAAAAATGTAGTCAAACATGCATTTTTCTAAACAAAATTTTGGTATCAAATATATTAATTTTTGTGTGCAATTATACGATTGTGTTTTTAATTTATTTTATTCTTAATCTAATTTTTATTTTAATATTTTATTTTAAATTTTTGTTCTCAATAAAAATTCTCTTTTTACTCAAGAAATTCCATATTTATCAGTATATGTTAGCAACTTACAATTTAGTTATTGAATTTTATAAATTATGCTCTTTGATTGAGTTGTATTAAATATGATATTGATAAAGTAAATGGAGGATACCGGATACCCAAATGGCGCTTGACAGGCATTAAATTTTATTATTTATTAATAATTTATTCATTTCGGAACAACAATAAGAAATATAATAATAAAAAATTACAAACCAATAATTTCGACATAAAACTACTAAGCAAACAACAAAAGATGATATTATGTTGTGTTGATTTTCTATTCAACTTGATTTCCTATGCAATAAACACATACATTTTATAATGAAGTTGGTAATCTAAAAAATTTTTTATCTACAATCAGGCACTTAAAGAGCAAATCATGCATGTCTTATCTTGTAAATGGTTCTTTAATGGAGTATTTTGACTAGGTTTTGACATTAACTTACGGAGTAAAAGTTTTAATTCAAACGCCATGAAAAAAATTCGGTTATAACTTATAAACCGGTAAACAAGGAAATTAGTAAACGCTAAATTAATCCTTACTGCAAAAAACATACTTGGCCACACGATTTGTGCGATTATGTTGTTCTATGGCTTCCCGGAAAGTGACGACGTCGTTTTTGGTTTCATAGGGAATGTATATTTATTATACTCTAGGCGTACAGAAAGGGCTTCAAAAAGGGACAAAAACGCTGTCAAGCGGGGCAGATTCTCTCTCTCTCTCTCTCTCTCCGAGATATAGGGTGGAATGGAGGAAAAAACATGCCCATTGTGCTGCCGACTTTAATCACGCGGGCAGGTAGATAGGGTAGGCGGAGGGGTGGCGAGGGGGAATCTGGCTGCGGCCGCCCGCCCGCCGCTGATGGCTCTGCACTGGAGATTCATAATTCAGCGCTCAGGTCACGCCGGCCCGGTCCATAATGCAAAGCCGGTGCTGCCGCTGGATATTAATATATGCGTCCCAAGATGTGTGTGGACCCAGTGCACTCCGACGCCCGCCGCCGGGCTCAACGAACGAGCCCAGGTGCGTCCCTAATGGAGCCGCAAAGTCGCGCGCGCCGCAATAATTAGTGCCGAATAATCAGCGACCGACCGGCACACACACCCATCGATGACTGTTTCGCAATGTACACACGTATTATTTAGATACACGACCGCAAAATTTACGACGTGGGCCACAATATTCGGCTAAATCCGAACCACCAATGAACGCGAAACTTATGATAAGACACCAACCGAGTGTTTTTTAGAATTTTAATTTCACATTTTTCACAAAAAAGTTAATGCAAATAAATACTTTTTTGTTAATTTTAAAAGCAAAAAATCTATTAAAATATAAGAATTGAGTGGTATTTAATTCCATAAATTTATAATAATTATTTTATTTAAATTAGTTTTTTATTTGAATTAATTTAACTGTTTATATTAAAAATTTTTTGTGATCGTCCTAATTTTTTGTCTAAAATGGATTTTAAATATTTTTATTTAGATGTAAAAATTTAATTATATCCCGGAAAAAAAATCTAGTATAGAAACTTAATAAATGGAATTCATTACAATCAAATTGTGTTAAGATACAAATCGAAACTAGAAACTAAACTTTAGGCCAAAGTTAAATTTCCTGGCTGAGATGAAATGAAAATTAATGGAAAACTTAACATTGTACTTTTAAGTTATATAATATGATGTTTAAGAAAGAAATAAACAATATAAGATGATTTATTTAATTCAAATCAATCTGCGAATAATTATAAATTTACATTGTCAAATGACGTTCAAAGACAGAAAAATACTCTTGATTTCTTTCATAAAAACTTATGTATGTACTTTCAGCAAGTAGCAAGACTTAAAAAAAACTTTCACTTTTTGCCAAATCCCTAATCTTTTGACTTGTGACAGACTTTTGCTGCACAGCACATTCGGCAGGCAGATGCTTTTAACTTGTGTTCGCCAATCTCTCGTCTGCACTACCGACGACGGTGAGATTATTCAAATTCCGGTGGCACCTGCGCTGGCGGATTCCTCTGCGCCGCCGATAAGTCGTCTCTCGACTTTGGGGTCGCACAAGTGGCTGTGACCCTCCATTGTCGACAGGAGACTGATATTGGCCTATTAACTACATAGGGGCCTAACTGCCTCTTAAGTAAACACCAACTCTGGCTTTTCGGCCAGTCAATCAGTGGGAGTCAATTTCACCAGTTAGATATTTATCTTTATCATAAATAGTGATACATGAAGATTTTCACATTTCCAAATATTGAGATTTAAAACAAGTTCGAAAATTTTTATAAGTTTTGACGGCAAAAAAGAAACTAAAACTGTGAAAAAATAAATTGCAGTAAAAAAAAATCTCCAAAGGTTTACAAAATTAAAATCAGACATTTCTTACAAATAGTTTTTTTTAACCTTAATTTAAATGCTGACTCCAGTACCTCCAAAATAAATGTTCAAAATGTTTTCCTCGCATGTATTCACCAATTTTTAAGCAAATTATAATAAATAATTCATGATTATAATTAAATGTGGCAATTTTGTTTCATTTAGAAATATTTGGTTCCGCAAAGTTCTGCAACAAAATCTCATCAGCTTTAATTCCACCCCTGCTGAAATTGCAAATTTTATATGAGGTTTCATTTCTTTTTTTCTGTCATTTGATCTCTGCAGGTGTGGAAATTGCCAGGGGAGAAAAGGCCGAGCGCTCTCTGCAGCAATAACAAGAACAGAAATGATAATTCGCGGCCATAACACTTTCGTGCTTCTCTTTCTTCTTTTTCTCTTCGCCCAATATGCATATGAGTTGGAAAGAAACTTGAAGAAGATGTTCATTTATTGAACGTTCCAATGAAAACTTTCCCGGGCGCAATATTACGCAAATCGATGGAGAGAGCACGGAGAGAGAGAGACTTTAGCGAAATGGAATATAAAGACCTGGCAAATATTTGACTTCGTCGCATGCTAATTACTCCCGAGTCGATCAGCCACCAACGTTGAACGTGATCTCTGATCTCAAATTTTGCAACCGCGATTGTTTAATGAAAAAAGGCATGTATAACTATGATAATTAAATATTTCAATTAGTTCTGATAAAAAAACATAGTATTTTTGAGAAGAGAAACCAAAGAAACGACTATTATTATTATTATTATTTTTTTGTAATGTAGATTTAATAATTCCAAAGGTTAAAACACTTTCATTCAAAATTGCATGTGTTTTTTTTCTTCAAAAAAACAATATTAAAGAAAAATTATAGAGAAAAATTTTCAAATTTAACGGTCATTATTATTTTCTTTGTTAATTAATGAGAAAACTGCCTTTTTGCTTTGAATGTGCAATTTTAATTTCCTGGATCACATATTTTCTGTATTAGATTTTTGAAGTTTTAAATGAAACTTTTAAGAACAGAAAAGCGTATGGCGTGTTAAAAATGACGCTTTCTACATTTTCAATCGTTGCAAAATGAAATTAAAAAAGATTAAGTGGCAAAAATTATAATTAACAATATCAGCTTAACTGCTTTTGGATGTTCCACGCAGTTTGATGTTTTTATGAACATTGTTTTAAAAATTTAAATTTGCTCAGATATATTTTTAGTTTTTCCCTGCACTTTAAAATTGTTTTCCTGTTATCAATTTAATATTTGCATCTATTTGAAGATTTAAAAAATTTAAAATAATCGCAATCGTCTTTAAAAAAAAGTGGCGAGGTCGTATTTTCCATTGTGTGGTCAAATATTTTTAGAATAGATATATGAATTTGAAACTGACCGTTCTCGATGGTGAAGAAGCTCTCGGCGTTGCCGGCCGTGATGCGGAACAGCAGCGGCGGCGGCTGGTCCTCGAGGTCGTCGTCGCGCGCCTCAAGAGTTATCACTTCCTGGCCGGCGGGCGAGTTTTCGGGAATGCTCGGGTAATAAACCGGCTGCAGGGTCAGAGGCGTGTTGTCGTTCACATTCACCACTTCCACGTACACCTGGAATACATTTCACAGAGGTTTATGAGCCGCCGCTTTTATTACATAATGTGTGCATGTATAATCCTGACCTGACACCTAACTGTGAACACGTGGAGGAAAGTTTGGTTGGTGTGCTCGTGAGAAACGCGGCGAGCATTTCAAAAAGTTCAATGTGGGGTCATTTGATTCATTAGGAAAGAAAAACTCGTCCCTAAACTTTGATAACTGGCGTTTATGTATGGAATTTCAGATGCGGTTTATCATGTTTTATGGAGTGACAAAAGTCCAAACATTTCTTCTCTTATTTTTTAATTGTTTGGTCCAGAAAATGTGATAATTAATTTGAATTCTTGCAATTGGTTAACAATCCACATTAAAAAGTGGTTATAGTTGGATTTGTTTGAGACGTACATATGAAACGCATCAATAATTATAAATTTTGATAAATTATAATTTACACTTATAATTTAGAATGCCCGGTGGTACATTAATAAACACAATTTGTAACTATATTTTAAACTCACTATCTTATTATCAATTGCTCCAGTAAAAGTGATAAGATAATATTTATTTTAAATTAATATCTATTCAGAAAGATGCAATGAATGTACCTTTATACCAATAAAAAAACTGTGCTAAAAATAATTTATGAACAGCTTATAAATTACACCTGTATACAAAACAAATATTATATCAATCAATAGATGTGTTTATTAATTTAAAAATTTTCTATTTTATTATAATAACAGGATTCAATATGTAGTAAATATATTTCATAAATTATTAAAATTTTAAAGCACAATAATAATAAACATTGTTTTATGTAATGTACTTAATTTTAATTTTAAAAACATGGAAGAGGACAACTAGTATTATATAAAATTCTTTTTTCCAAATTAAAGCATCTTTTAAAAACTCGAGTTTAATGTAAATCATTTGTATTACAAAAAGTAAAAAAAATCACATTGCTAATCTTATGTTACATTTTTAAATTTCTACAATTTAATTATTTGAATGGTTTATTGAGTAAAATTAAATGACTTAAATTGATTTTTGAGTGAAAATAATAGCTCTACTTACTATTAACAGTAACAAAAATGACAACACATATTATCTTTTAGAGCATAGAAAAAAATATCATAAAAAGACTAATAATTTTCTGAAATTTGAGCACGAACTGGTCTTAAAGCTCTGAAATAATTTCCTCTCCATTTTAATCAATGCAATAATTTTTACGGAACGCGTGATATAAAAAAATGACTATTTCCTTCCGAAATATAATGTGAGGCAATATCAGCATTGACTTGTAAACAAACTGGCTTTCAGCGCCGTCACTCTAAACCCTGGACGGGCATTGAGTTTTGTTTTTTATTCTTTTCACCGCGGTTCTGACGTTCCGGCTGCTATATTCCGGACGTTCCTCCGTTTGTCAAATTATTACAGATGGGCGCGTAAACAAACAACAGGCACGTCTCGTCGTTAAAGCGGCGGCAGCGGCGTAGCCACGTCCAAAGTAATAGTGAAAAATGACGAGCAGATCTTCTATACGAACCTCGATTCTCGAGTGAAGAGGCACGACGCCGTGGTCCTGCGCCATCACCGTCAGCCAGTAGCTTCGTTTGCTCTCGCGATCCAGCACGGCCAGCGTCGAAATGTTTCCTGCAACACGAGCGAAAATGATGAATTTTTTGTTACACTCGCAGCCAATATCGACGACGACATCAAAGGAAAGCAAATTTCAATCAAAAGCACATCGCGTGAATGGGAAATTTCCCAGCGGCGCCGAAATTGAGAAAGGAATGCGTTTTATTAATTTCCACCCGGTTTATAACAATGCAGTAATAAATCGTTAATTTTATATTAAACGATAGAAAATACTAAGTAAAAAATTTCAAAGAATTTGTGGAATTTCTTAATTTGCAAACGTATTTATTAAGTATATTGAATTCGGTTAGTTAACAACAAAAAAAGCTACTATTATTTGTCAATATTGCTTCTTCTCTTCCATTATTTTTCCCTTACAGCAACTATAGAGCTAAACCAATAATCTTTAAAGGGATTACTTAAGGATGATATTATCTTAATTATTTGTACTACTAGCAACGCAATAAAGAAAATGTGATGAAATTATTAACTTCATAGTAAGCTTATTTGATTAAATATAAAAGCAATTCCTATTATATTAAAAATATACAGTATAATTTTTTTCCCTTGAAAGACAATTGAATCTTGAAGTTTGCAGAGAATTGCAGAATTATTTCAAACTTCGAGTACTTTATTGCAAAATACATTTTGATGAAATTGAAGATTGAACAATCATATTATTGATTCCAGCAAATTTCGGAATCATTTGAAGTTAATACGTTTTTATATTATAAATCTCTCTTTACTTTCTTCATAAGGAAAATTCATCGATATTTTTCTTTTGTAGAGAGAAAATGCATTTATGTTAAAATTCAGATTAATGAATTTAGGTTTTAAATAGAACTTTTAATTATTTATTTTCTAATTATAAGATAAAAGTGGTAGTTTATTTAGTTAATTTTACAATGACATTTCCCTTGCGTAAATTATGACATTATGACTGAGGGTTGCCTCATGTCTCAATTAAGTCAATCAAACCCCGGATGTCTATTTAAAGCTTTTCAATTTGAAACAAACATATTATATTGTAACCCTTTCTTTTTAATTGAGAAACCCCCTAAGTCAATAAAACTGTTCAATCGATCAGCCCGAATAAAAAGATCTAAAAGGAGTTGTCGCTCATTAGAGCAGGGTCTGAATCGAAAATAGACCACATAAAAATAAAAGCACACATTCATATACACAGAGCAGAGAAGACTGCTTCCCGGTACTGTTTAAATATTTCACTCGGGGCCTGATGGAAACATCCTGTTCAGCGCCGGTGCTTTCGAAATAGAAAGAAAAACATTTCCGGGATTGATGCGTGGCAGGCGGGGGATGCTCCGGGTGGTTTTCCGCACCCCTGGCTGCCACACGCGCGCGCTTTGAGGAATGATTCATTAGTCCAAATGGACGTACACCTAAAGAGGCACCTGTTCGGCCAACTTTTCCTATTGGGCGAAAAACCGGCCGTTTGAATAAAACCCTTTTCGCACTCCAACTCCTCTCGCTCGGCCCCTGAGGGCGGCTCAACGCAAAAAAGTGTCAGCAGAGAGAGAGCGCGGGCGGAAATGAGCGTTCCGGAACGTCTTCTCCTTCGGCTTTTATCGCGTAATGAAACGCGTTGTTGATCCGCGGGGTAAATAACCCGAGAAAGACTCGCGCGACGCCCGCAGGGGCTTCCCAGAATTTTTTGTTTAATTTTCATCGTTAAAAGAGGAATATAAAAAAAATCCCTGGAGCGCTAAAAATATTTGAATAAGAATATAAAAAGAGTTTAAAAAAACTGAAGTTGAATTATCTTCAAAGATCTCTCTGTTTATTCCGACTTAGTTTGCTTTTGTTTTTAACAAAATGTTTTGTTTGCAACTTAATTATATTGAGCACGGTCTTGTTTCATTACATTCAATTTATATCCCTTTGACTTTGATGAAGATAATTGGAGTTGATGAAATAAGAGCCAAGCTTATCCTCATTGAAAGGGTAAATTTGGTTCTAATTTATTGCTTAGGTTTTGTTTATAAGTTAACAAAAGCTTCCTTGTAAAACTTGAATAATAGCTTTTGCTGAATGGATCACGAATATGTAATGATTTTGCAGATAAAAGTAAAAAGATATTGCACAGCAAAAGTTTTGGTAATTGAGGCTTCCTTTAAACAAAATTTTATATTTTACAATGCTTTGCTATAAAAAATAAACTTGAAAAGCACAGACAATTTCACTTTTAATAAAAATTGCGCATTTTCATTGTCTCTTAAAACTTCACTCTCGGCAAATAATATGCTTTACAAGATTTTTAATATTTTTAAAACGACTCGGGGCCTATTATTCTCCATTTTTAGATCTTGGTAGATTTTTTTATTCAGTCATTGGGTACAAAAAATGATTTGGAAGCTAAAAAAATTGCTCCCTAACTTTTTATTAAATAGTTATTATGGTGCCAGCATATCTTTAAATGCCAAATTTATACATTTTCATTTGTATAGATAAGAATTTACTCAATTTACAATTCATTAATAATTATTGATTTATTTATTTTTAATTTATGATCAAAATGATCATAACAAAAATTTATTTCACCCTTATATATTACATAAAAAAATTGCTCTCATTATTAATAAACAAAATTCTAAACCTATTCAATCATTTTATTCATCTCTACCTTGCCATCATGAAAGCTCATGTAAATTTTCTATAAAGACTCCAAATCTGCTAATGAAATACCGTGAAATCATTTTATTATAAGAATAAAGCAAAATATAATCTTATTTCTTCCCATGTGTCAGTTTTCTAGACCAAACATGATATTCTCGGTTTGGGCGTTCGTCTCAAGGGACGTAAACGTGGAGAAATTATATTCGTCTTGTCCCCAGACGAGCGAGCGACCGAGTGTCGCCGACCGGGCAAAAAATCGTCTGGGTCGTCGGAGTATTTTTAGGTGTCGCAACAACGGGATTTGGTGCGAAAAAAGTGCGTGAATGATTACGCGCAAGTGCCAAATCTGAGGCGAGCGGAGGCCGCAATTCCGTCCGCACTCAACTCGGCATGCCAAAATTCCATCCGTTCGAATTACTTTTGCGCCACGGAGCGAAAAACAGTCCGTCGCCGCCGCCGCTCAGGGGGTCTTTCAATAAACCGAGGATGGACGTTTTTCCACGTGTATTGTGCACACTTCCCTGTCCGCCGGTGACAAAGGGGCTGCGTCACCTCTCACTATATATGTATATACCTGTGGCCCCAAAAATCGAAGCATTTCACGCGGCGTGTGCGTGAAAAAAAATTTATATATGTGTGTGGCGGAGAAAGGCAGAGATTGACTCGCCCATCCTGCCGTGTGGCCATTTCGCAGTCGTTTATTTGCCTTCGTTTATATATGCGTGTGTGTTCTCGCGTGTGACGCGCGCAAATAGTGCGTCGTTCCGCACTTTTGGGCTCGTTAAAATTTACGAGCATGAAAACAGAGATAAATATTAAAATGCACAACCAAAACAAAAAGCGTCCCTAATTTCAAATTGCGAGGAAAAGTTTTACTTTTTATTTTTGGTAGATTTTTCATCTTGTTGTTGGAAAAAAGTTACTTTTATCATTATTTATTTCTAAACTTGTACAAGCCTCATTTTCCCATAAAAAAGTGACAAATTATATTGAAAATGGACCAAAACAAATACAATAATTTTTTAACTTTAAAAAAACTAACAAATAATTATAAAAAAAATAATATACATTACTGTTTAAGTATTTTTAATTATTTTTATTTAATGTTTATTTTCACCTTTCAATTATTAAATGACATTTCTTGTTAAATGTCTTTACAGTAACTGCAACATAAATAGTAACTTTTGTCAATTTTAAGGGAGAACATTCAAATTGATTGAAATTTCAATACTTTATAATAAAGAGACTGCATCACCTACATAAAAAGTGGAAAAACACTTTAAGCAAACTATAAAGTTCTTCGTATTCAGTCATAGTGCTCACTGTTAGAAAATTTTATAATTTACGTTTCATATTGCAATTACATTGAATACAAATTTTAATTGCGCATTTATATTCGGAAACATAATCAAATGAAACACGAATAAAGTGATTCCTTAAGAAACAAATTGAAACAGTTCACTTGTATTGACGTCACGACTCCTCGGCATAATGTCTTGTTATTTCTCATTAAGTTCTAAATGAGAAGGGCTTCCTCGTGAATTTTATTGCTAAGCAGCTCGGCAAGAGTGCCATTTGCGAAATTGCGAGCGAGAGCACGAATCCCCATCTCGCCATTTCCGGCATCTCGAGTGCGAGGAGATCTGCATGTTTTTCATTCCCCGCATTACGTCCGACTGCTTGTTTGTTGCGAATAATAAAAAGCGCAGACACAGATTTCGTGTGAGGGAGAAAAAGTTTGTATCTTCCTGCTCTTTCTCTTTCTCGTCTCGCTACTCTTTTGGCCTAATTCCCAAAAAGCATCTAAACGCTCTCGTCGCGAGCACAACAGATTGGGCCGGATATAAAAAGACTTTACGGCCGCATTTTGTTCTTCATTTCCTGCAGCTTAATCATTTTTTTGCGTACCGACGACGAATATGCGTCAGCAGCTTTATGGTGCCCTCGTGATTTCCATTCATAACTTGATGATTTTACTTCTTCTTCCTAGGCTACAAAATTCAAAATTGGCCCGCTTACAACCTTCCCAAAGTCGTAAATTATCAAGGATTTCCACTCGGAACAGAGCGTTTTACGGTCCTTCCGATTCTAGACTTCCGAGAGAAGTACTGGTGATAAAAAATCTCTTTTTGTTCTAAAAAGAGACTTATAATTTAGTTGAAAAAGTCAAGAGTTTAGTCTTTTTTTTCACAAATGTCTAAAAAGCCAAGTGAAAATGGAAATTTAAATATATGAAATTGATTTCATATTTATCCCACAGGTAAAATCATAGATCTTTTAATTGAAGCCAACTTTTTTATTTAAAAATCAATGAGGAAAAAATGACTAATAATAAGATATTTATTTGAAGTATTTGCAAGTTTTAATAATTTAAATGAGTA